GAACAATATCTTCGACTTGACGATTTCCATTCCCTTGGGTATATTCCCAGCAGTGGAACAGCTGGGTCATATGGTAGATCTATCTTCAGCTGTTTGAGGAACCTCCAAACCATTTTCCATAGGGGTTGCACCATTTTGCATTCCCACCAACAATGTATGAGAGATCCTTTTTCTCCGCAACCACGCCAGCATTTGTCTTTCAGCGTCTTTTGGATTTTAGCCATCCTAACTGGGGTGAGATGGTATCTCAGTGTGGTTTTGATTTGCATTTCCCGGATGCTGAGTGATGTTGAGCATTTTTTCATATGTCTGTTGGCCATTTGTAAATCTTCCTTAGAGAAATGTCTACTTAGCTCTTTTGCCCATTTTTTAATTGGGTTGCTTGTTTTTTTTCTTGTAAAGTTGTTTGAGTTCCTTATATATTCTGGATATTAATCCTTTGTCAGATGTATATTTTGGACATATTTTTCTCCCACTCTGTTGGTTGTCTTTTAACTCTGTTAATAGCACAGGACAGGTTAATTAAGGTCGCTTAAATCTTCATCTTTTGCCGCACATCAGAACTCAGATGGCTGACTTTCTGCAGGATTTCTGATAGGAATCCAGCAGCGCTGGTTTCAAGGTTCACATTGACTCTTAAAGTTGTAACCTTCTTATCTAAAAGTTGCAGTCCACATGAAGTCCACAATGAGTGCAGCAAATGTGAGGTAGTCAAGCCTTAGAAAGGCTCAGTACTTCTGGCTTTCTACATGCAGAGGTGGGAGTTGTGTATCGCTGTATATTTCTGGTGGTCCTTGTGCTGTTTTCCTTGTTGTGGTGAACTTGGCCCCAGGAGGCCTATCCACACCACTAGTCACTGGGGTTTCTGTAACAATTTCTGGAGCAAGAGGAGTTTATAGTGGAGCTGATGTATTCCAGGGACCTGAAGATTTTTCTTTACCACCACCACCACCTTCTTCCCAGTTATCACTTGGATCTTCTCTCATTTATTATCATCTTCTTCCTTCTCACTTATTCGCATTGCCTGGACTCTGAGGCCGCTGTAATCAACCTTTTTGTTCAGATTCTTTCCACTCATCTTCATCCTTCTTCACTGCCTTGATGGTGCCCACAGTCTCTCCAGCACCCAGCCAGGCCA